CCTAATTCTTCAACATGAATCCAAGTACCTACAACCCAAAGTACAGCCATAGCAATATGAATTAATAAGAAAATTTCATACCATCTTCTTCTAAAGTATAACATTGCTTGAACCAACATAATTCCTCCAGCAACAGTAGCAACGGTACCCCAAATTACATACTCTTGTTGCATCTTAATAGCATAACGTGATCCAAAGAGAATACTGAAACCAACTGCATGGATAACAACTAAACAGAACATGATTCTTGCAGTATGACGGTGATAAGCCATAAATGCTGTATAATTGTAACCAGAAATCCATTGTAAGAAATTATTACGACCAGCAAATAAAATAATCAATGGCATCATAATAGTAGCGACAATACCGGTTCTATCAGCAACATATCTAATTTCGGCTGTGTACTTACTATCAAAAACTGGATCTAATTCTAAAGCAGTAATGTTTATACAATGAATCACAACCACAAAGACATAGAAAAGAAAAATGACAATAGATTCAAAACGAGATGGTAACAAACAGTCAAAGATCTTCCAGAATGATTGCTCTTGAGTCTTCTTTCTTCCAAATGCTGCAGGAATTGAGACATGCTTTCTCCAAAAGTTGATAAAAGGACCAGTAAGTTTCTTTGTGAACCAGGGAATAAAAATTTGGACCAATTTGTGACAGCACCAATAAGAATGATTAATAACCAGTACATTAAAGTGGAAGTCCCATAGTATAATGAGTGGTCATAATTATGTAAGAATGTAGCATATGAACGATCATAAAGTTTCATGGCAGTTTCATTCAATTTAAATGGAACATCGATCGGAATACTGGTATTAAAACCTTCAATTTCGTCAGCACTTTTAGCATATTTTTTGAATCTTTCAAGAGCACCCTCAATCCAATTAGGTTCAAGAACAATTTCTCCTCTTTCACACAATTCATCCATTCTGTGCAAAGTGTCATGATTAATTCTATCCATGTATGAAAGACAACCAGCATAAGTAGCAAGGGCATTTTCATTTTGACATAAGCAAGCATAATCAAATGTTTTGTTACAAAACAGGACATCGATATTTATCTGAAGATTACATGCATAGGCAGGGTATTTACCACCAGTTGTAGTATAAGCACTGTCCCCATGAGCACAAGCAGCAATAATGAAAATTGCAAGAGAAATAAATGTTCTCAACATATTTTTTGCAGTCGTTGTTTACACTCTGTTAAAGAATACAATCAACAGATTAGTTGGCAGAAACATGACTTATTTATACTACAAAATTCTCACAACATGTATTCCTTGAGATGGTCATAGTAGCAACCATTATTAAGGAAAATCCGAGTTTATGATTGGCGAAAATCTACTTGTAAAGGGTCTCCGATTATCTTTTTGATCTACATAAAAATCAAAGTTTTTTTCAACCACAAATTGCAACTCATTGTTATAAACAATTATTCCATTCAATTGTAACCGAACCGTAACTGCATCAATTTGCTAACTCTCACTAATTCTCGCTAATTTTATTTCAAATTCAGCCTCATTTGAAATTCAACGCCCTGAATGATGCACGATAACCTAAAGGTATCTTCCATGAGCAATTATTGGCTGAAAGAAAATTCCTCTGGGTCCAATTAACGGGGCTGAATTTTCATTCCCAGAAAGGTTCCTGTTTGACAACAAAAGAAACGGCTACCTAGTCAGTCTTGGCAAGAACTTTGTGGCTTTTTGTAGGTGATCTTTAAGATAACAATAGCAAGGTTTTTTTTTTGTAAAAATATTCATTGGCTTCTGGAAATGGGATGAGCTACAAGTCCAATTGGCATTCTTGCTTGCATCATTTGATGTACCGCATATTCCCAGGGAACCCCTTGCAATCACAAAATTTTGAAAGGTAGACCTTTCGATATCTCTTCTAAGGACCTTGATCCCATTAGAATCGACTCACTTTGACCAGAAAACAGGACTAGCGCCTGCTTTGTGACGCAAATGAAGCTGGAATCTAGAATTCGTTTTCTTGGCTCCCTTCGCTCTCCTTTCAATGATGCATGCTGCTTTCAATATCGCTTGTCTTGGCGACTTACTGATCGTGCCGTATTTATGCCTCGTCAATAATCTCGATTTTAGATTTCCTTTTGTTGTAGCTTTCACAAGATTTTGCGAGAAATAACTATCGCCTAGCGGTTTTAAATTTTGGAATTATCTCCTGGCGAATTACCTCTTTCAGATATTTCACGCTATAGAAATGTAAATCAAGAATGCTTATAGTACATTGTTATACATTTAGTCAAGGTATCAACAATGTGTCTAACACCCGTACATTCAATATTTGACTCTCGAAGTCAGCGGTTTTAATTCAACCTAACTTTGAACATAGCTAGGTGTGCATTTATAGGTTCAATATAATACTACTCGTGGCCAATCAGAAATATAACTACGCGATTGCACTTCCTGATGGTCGCAAGTACTGTTTTTGTTTGCAAACATTTACCAAAATAAGATTCTGTGTCGAATCGTAGGCAATTTGGTACATACTTCAATCCTATTATAATTTTCAACTGCGAGAATCGGGATACTTAATTTGACATTCCCTCTCGCAGAATCTTCACCCCATAAATAAATGTCATAAGAAAGAGTAGAAGTTAGAAGTTTATAAACTTGTATTCGAATGGCTTAAAATTTGCAAAAAAAAGAAACCCACTATCTGAAAATCCCCACGTAGTGGTTATGAAACCCTGGTCAATTTTAACAAGAAAAAAACATTTGGTACAATGTAACCCAAATTGGCCGTATATTTCCTGAAATTCAGATCATATTTATTTACCCACTAACTTTATTAAGATGATGCCCATACAAAGGTTATTTCAAATAAACATCCCAACACATTCCAAGGGGAAGATTAATTGAATTAAGAAATTTTTATAATTCCGACCATGACTAAGTAAGTTGCGTTAATAAGAATCTCAAAGCACATGCGTTAAAATCTCGGATTAAATACCCCACCAAGAACAAGAATTTAGGTTTTGTTGCACTCAACTATATTTCTTAACAGGAGAAATTTTGAAGCATTTTTAATCTTATTTGCAGTGATTTTATTTCTTATCTATGAGATGCTACAAGTCTCAAGAAGAATTCCACATCAATGCCATGACTCCCAGATTTTAATTGATGGGGTTAAATTCTGTTTTATAATTGCATACGTAACTGCTCTACCCATATTCTTTGGCAACCAAAATTCCTCTCGACTTCTTTTCAGATAAGCTAGCCTCCTACTCCTATAAGACAAATCCACCCTAACTAATAACTATCGCGTCTGTTGCCAAGAAGATGGATTCCCCAGTATTCTTTTTGTTATTTGTCAGAGCGCAAAGCAAACATGTTGTAGAGATACATCAGCGCATTGTTAGGTTGCAAAAAAACGAAGAATTACTCTCACCCAAAAGAGTCAAAGATTTTCTAAACCCATTCTCTTGCACCTTGATATTACAGTCACTAGCATCCTTAGTACAGAGAGTCCTAACTTACATTGAGTAGAGCCAAAACTTCTTGAACGGCCCCTGGAAAATGAATCTAAATGAATCTATTCAGCCAGAGGGTAGCCACCCACCTTTTACAACGAACAAATAGTAACAATACTTTGAAATCAAGTACTACTACGTCAAACTCACTACATATATTTCTGTAACATAGATGCAATAAGTCAGACAGATCTTACGTCATGATATGTTTATTTGACATGACTTGAGGATTTATCTTGCAGATATTTCGTTGACGTATTTCTTTCGAGGCATAGATGAATCAATTTTCAATATCAGTAACATTGCTGTTATCAGAACTACACACAATATCAGTAATAGGGGGAGGGAACAAACTTCTTAATCACAAAACTCATTATAACCCACAGCCACGGAAGATTAATTAGTTTACCTGTTTGGGTAATTTGAGATCAAAGAAAAAAACCACTTTTCTTTAATTTATTAACTTTCGACACAAAGTTGTTGCAACACAAACTTAATAATAATATTCATCGAATCTGGGCCTCACAAGACCACAACATACACTGGGTAGGTAAGACCGAACCCAAGCATTACAGCATGATAGCTAGTCTAATTCGTTGAGTGAAATGCCAAGAGGTTTCAAGTTCGAGAGAAGGTAGACTGATCCACTAGTGGTTTTTTTTGAGATGAGGCAAGAATTAGAGATATTTTTCAACCAATAAAATCATAATTTATTTTTCACTTGAATTTCCGTTGTAAAATTATTATTATTGGATAGTTTTCCGTTTTTGGTTTTACATCATCAGCGATGAGTTTACAAANCCAAAAAATAAGATGACCCCCATCCGATGAGTTGCGGGATTAAGTTCGATATTAGAGTAGGATATAGGAGTATAGGAACGTCGTGTGAGATCAGTAATTTTTTGCGGTAAGGCTAAGAAAGGACCGAATATTTTTTCTCTTGTTTTAACTGATTTAGACAACGCACGATTTATTGTCAGTTGTCGCCCTGGGATTTGTTAGTCAAATGGAACATATTAGCAGTGGGATATCTTACATTAATGAACAATGCTACTTAGAAACAGATATTAACCTTCTATTTTCACATGGAACATGGTTAAAAGAAAAAAGTTCGATCAGATCAGATTTTTGTGCCATTTTTTACATGAGTCGTGCATATACCATAGAATAAAAAGAAAAGTGTCAAACAATCAAGAATTTGATTTTGTGATTGCATCTTTTAAGTAATTATACTTCTTAATTAGGATATCTAATTAGGTTGACTGCATATTAACAATGGATATGAAAAATAAATCCATTAGTTTAAAATTTCATTGAAAAATAATACTCAACCGTCATAGGCTATTCAAACGACCATAATAATATTCTGTTTCTTTTTAGACAGTTGTATCATTTGATCAGTGACCCCACCAGGTGTGGGATCATGCAAGCTTGCACCCATAGGAACGTATGAAGATCTTTATGATGCTTCGTAGCGTGCGAACATGCAAGATAAGATAAACGATCATAATTTCGGATTGGTAGTTTTTGTGTAGATTTGGAGTTTAGTGACAACATACGAACAAACGTTTTATTGTTTTATTAAAATACCTTTTACTACATATTATACTTTCGGGATATACTAGGGTTCTTGCATAGATGATCCTATTGTTCTATTGGGCCCAGCACTGATGATAAGAGTTGTACAAAGTCTAGAAATAGTTCACATTTGTGACAGCCAATAGAGGACAAGGGCTCAAAGTCTAGAACATGGTTTTAAAGGGAAAAAAGGACAAGTAAACGCAACCAGTGAAAAAGCAAAAGGTGTTATTTATGAAATCCTATGGCAGAATAATATACCAGAGCACGAGGAGAGGTCATTTATCAGCTTGAGAATTGTCAACAGTTGCAAAATAAACATGTGATATTAGAATGGAATCAGTCATCTGTTGTAGGTAAGCCTCGCATGATAATTTAATTTAGAACTAATTAATTAATTAGTTCGATGTAAAAATATTAAACTCTAGCTCTAGTCTGACCGATATTTTCTACGGCCAATAAAAAAGATGTCCCTCGACCTAAATTACTCAGTCCGATTGAAAAAATTAGTACAGATTTTTGGTCCCCCCTTTAAGCCTTGTCAGGGTCAAGCCTGGTTTGGTGAACCGCGGAAGCCAAAAAAAAGCTAATTTAGTACGATCGTAAAGAGCGAAACATGTGAATCAAATTTGTGTTATAAAAAACCCCTTTAGATGAAGAATGAGTGTATTCTGCAACATTACCACATATGATCACATTGGCAACGGTCATTCAACACATCTTAAAGTATTACTTTGCTTTTTACAAATGAGATCTATCAACATGTGGTTTATTTTTTTTAAAAACTAAATGATTTAAAAAACTTAAACCACTCGCTGATCTGATGTCGAGCAAATGCTCTTTTCTTTTTCGAAAATATCAAAAATCGTTGCCGAGATTTTTCAAACAGATTTATAAAAATTCCTTGCAACTTAAGGTTATGAATGATCTGAACAGTTGCATTGCAGTACAATAAGTATCCAACGTTAGAGAATCCCCCAACTCCCTTTCGCTATTGTAAAGGGGGATGTAGACAAAAGACGCCGCGTAATAAACGAAGAAAACATTATATTTTTACGTCATGGGCTTATTGTTCTTTTATTTTTGTATGAAGAGATCCCTGTGACAGTTAGGCAAAAAAATCTGTCAATAAGAAAAAATTTGTGAAACAAAGAATTTTTTTCTACAAGGTCTAGAACGATTTTGATTTAGACTTTTTTCAGCGAAATCTGTCACAAACTTGGATGTTTAAAAAAATAAATGGAACTGCATGAAAAAGCAATTCCACATGGCAGCCAAAAAATAATTGTGTTTCCATTGTTTGAAAATTTTTTTTAATAAAAAAATTACCCACAATTGAAATTAATTGTTACAAAAACATCAACAAACAACGAAACACCAATTTCTGTAAATTTTATAAATATACACGACAATCCCACCATTATTTTGACTCACTCCTTTAGTCTTCTTTTTCTTCTTCTTTCTTGTTCAACATTAATTAGTTCCTTTTTTATTCCAAAAAACTTTTACACTCATTTTATAAATTATTTTTCATACTTGTAACATACTAAGTTTGAAAACATATCTACCAACTATCGTCTTTCATTTTCGAATAATTAACTAACTAACTAACTACAACATTCGTTTAACTACTACTACTACTACAATGAAATCTTCAGTCTTAACTATTTTAACTATTGCAGCCACTGCCTTAGCTGCTCCTTTACAAGGCCAAAGACATCATCAACATCATCAACATCAATTAGACAAGAGAGCTGTTGTCACTGAAATTGTTTATGTTGATATTCACGGTAACACTATTGCCGCTCCAACTCCACAAACTTCTTCTCAAGATGTTATTGCTGCCACTTCCACCGCTGTTGCAGTTGAACCATCTACCACTGCTGCTGCTTCTTCTTCTTCAAGTGAAGCTGCCCCATCCCCAGCCTCCTCATCCTCCGCTGCCCCATCTGCTGAACCATCTTCCTCAGGAAGTTCCGGTAGTGGTGGTATTCAAGGTGACTTAAGTGCTTTTGCTAACCCAGGATCTTTCGAAGATGGTGTTTATGACTGTGCTTCCGTCCCAACTGGTCAAGGTGTTATTGCTATTGATTGGATTTCTGGTTTAACTGGTGGTTGGTCTACTATTATGAATGAAAACGGTGATACTTCTTCTACTTGTCAAGATGGTTTCTACTGTTCTTATGGTTGTCAAGCTGGTATGTCCAAGACCCAATGGCCAGAACAACAACCATCTAATGGTGTTTCCATGGGTGGTTTATTATGTAAGAATGGTAAATTATACAGATCTAACACTAATGCTGATTCCTTGTGTGAATGGGGTACTCCAGATATTAACTTTGTTTCTGAAATTGGTAAAGATGTTGCTATCTGTAGAACTGATTACCCAGGATCTGAAAACATGAACATTCCAACCTTATTATCTGCTGGTGGTCAAGCTCCAGTTTCTGTTGTTGATTCTGATACTTATTACACTTGGCAAGGAGGTAAGACTTCTACTCAATACTATGTTAACAACGCTGGTGTTTCTGTTGAAGATGGTTGTATTTGGGGTACTGCAGGTTCTGGTGTTGGTAACTGGGCTCCAGTTGTTTTAGGTGCTGGTACTACTGGTGGTTTAACTTACTTATCTTTGATTCCAAACCCAAACAATAAAGATCAACCAAACTATAATCTTAAGATCGTTGGTGACAACGTTAATGGTAACTGTGTGTACGAAAACGGTCAATATAATGGTGCTGGTTCTGATGGTTGTACTGTAACTGTCGTTTCTGGTTCTGCTCAATTTGTTTTCTATTAAACAACATTAGCAATTAGGTAACTAAAATTTATTATTGGTCTATATATTACGTTTGGGTTTTTTTATTATAAATATCTTTTTTTTATTAACAACAACAAGAGATGATTATTATTGCTTTGATTATTCTTTTTTCGTTTAACATCCGTTCTGTATGTTTATCTTAAACTGATTGGTAATTAAGATGGTTTTCTACTTATACCAATTGATTGATACCTTACAAATTTTTCCTTCTTACTTTTTTCTTAACATCTTTTCTCTATTGCTTTGTTATTTTATAGGCATTAACTATGTATCATATATATTACTACAATGTATAACTATCTTTTAACCAAATGCTATTGTATTACAATAACTTATAATTAATTCATTATTAGTTTTAAATAAATTAAATAAATCAATAATTTTTTCATCAGGATTTGGCAGAAAAGAATTTTGAATATAAATATAAATTAACAGTTTAGTTTTAAGTTTCTTAATTAAGAATTTATTTATAGTAGCAATTGTTGATGTTGATGATATTTTAAATACCTTTGGTTGAATATGAGGTGTTGAACCAATTGGTTGGAATCTTATTGTTATCTTTGTCACTTCTTCTTCTTCAGTTGGTTTTGCAATTGTTGTATTTTTAGAATCATTGTCATTTTTCTTTTTATCCTCACTTGAATCTCGTTGACTTGATAGTTGATGGTTTCTTTGCTGTTGTTCTTCAATTTGTTGATTTAGTTGTTCTTGTTGAGGTTTCGGTAGTTTCTCTAAGAATATTGATGTTGATAATGGTATCTTTGGTTCGTTATAGATGTCACCTTCTTCTTCTTCGATTAATAGCTGTTGTTGATTTGCCACTTCCTGTTGCAATTCTTGTTCTTCATCAGATGAAGATAGCGAAGATGAATCATCATCTGATTCTGAATGTATCAATAATGATGACATATTATTAACTTACACTTTACAATCAATCAAAAATGGGTATTCGCTCTCCTTCCCATACAAAGATCTACAATATACATAACTACACACTCTCTTACTCTACACACTAAAAAATATGAGACACCCGTTTTTCGGTCTCCGTGTTCTAAACTCCCCCTGGGACAAGTAAAAAAATATTGGAAGAAAGTGGACCCCTCCATTGTTTAAAACTTCAACACATCATACGTTCTTTCTTTCTTCCCCTTACTCACTTCAGTTACAAATCTGTCTGTTCCCACCTCACACGCGAAGAAGAATAAAATTTTTAGCGCCACATTTTTCAAAGATTCATTTCTGACAGATTCACATATACATAGCCATTTGTCTTGTTTAAATTAGCTTAACATAGTCAATATGTCAGAAACATCAGAAGCACCAAGTGAAACAACAATCGAACCATTTCTGTTTGAAAAAGTATTAGAAGCATTAGATAATGGATGTAAAGAAACAATAGAATCTAAAGATTATCTTTCTTATAGTACTTTAATTGATATTTATCTTAGTGATCATCAAAAGTATACTAATGATGAAAAGGAAGAATTATTAAAACATATTTTAAAGATTTTAAATGAAAATAAACAATTAACTTATGAAATTGGTTGGGATTTACCAAGTTTATTAATCCCTTATATTGATTCACAATATGAATTTGATAATGGTGTTAGAAATTCTCCTTGTGTTTATACTATCTTAAAGATATTTGAAAGTTTAGCATTTAATGGGAATCCCAAGGAATTGTTTTTAAAATGTTGTGAATTATTAACCACTATTAAAACTAGTGATTCAAAGCAAACTGATAACAAGGAGTTTAGAGAACGGTTTTTTGATATTAAATTATATTGTATTTTTGAATTAATTGATTCTTGTTTAAAAAGAATTGAAACTTTATATCCTTCAAGATTCTTATCAATGACTGTAAGTTCTTATATCAATTTAGCTCATATTAATTTAGTTCAAGAGAAATGGAGTCCAAGAAATCAAAGATTTATTTTAAAAAGAGCTTATAGTTTCACAAGAAATTATATATCACCCAAGATGCCAACTGAAATTGATCCACAAGTTACTAAAGAAGAATTGAAAAAGATTCAAGAAGATGAAGAATATTTACAAAGAAAATTATTAACTGGGTTTTTAACTCAATTAGTTGCGTTATGTGGTGTTGGAGGTGGTGAAGGTTTCGCAATGGATCATTTTAGTTGGTTGCAAAGTAGAGGAAAATCTAAGATTACATTAGAATATGAAATTGATCCTACTTTATATAATAGACTTGTTGAATTGGCATATTCTTTTGATATTCCATTAAATGATATCTTTAACAAATTTGTCAAAGATTCAAATAAATTATTTGAAGGATTTGATTATGATATTGAAGGAAATGATGAAGAATTAAGTGGGGCTATATTTGAAAAAGTAATCATTGATTATCAAAAAAATGTTTATTCAAGTATAATCGATAGTGATTCCAAAACTATAAATAATTCCTTACTTGGTGAATTAGCATTGTTTACTCATAAAATCGCCATTTCTAAAAAATTTGATAAATTAAAAATATCCTTCTATGATGCTATAGTTATTGGATTAAGATTATTGATTCCACAATTGGTTGAATCTAAATTCATCACCGCACAAGCCCAAGATATTTCTGCATTTTGGATGTGGTATGCATTACATCAACTGTGTACCCAAGGAAAGAAAATCGAAATTGAAGTTTCTAAAGTCCCAAGAGTCTTGTTAATGACTTATTATCAAGGTCTTTTATTCCTAATTATAGATTGTCGTGATAAACCAAATCATAGGTTTATGTTATTGACATTATTAACTAGGCTTTTGATTGTGTCACCTGAAGATATTGGATATGATTTCATAATGGATACATTGGATAATTGTCCATATGAAGGAATTAAAGCTCCTGTTATTGGGGTTTATAAGGAATTATTACTTAAAGAGAAGGGGAGTACTTGTATCAATGAACTCACTGATAAATTGTCCAAATCAACTCTTGAGGAGGTCAAGAAAGAAACAGGTGATGATGCTAAGAAAGAAGCAGGTGACGATGCAAAGGAAAAGGCAGTTCCTCCTCCTTTGCCAGAAAGAAAGAACAGCGCTTCTTCATCTGGAAAGTATTATACATTCACAGAAGAAAGACTTGATGATTTCTTAGAATTGATTCTAATTGCACAATCAAACGCATTCATTTCTCAAAATAAGGAAATTTCAATCGATTCTACAAAATTATCCACATTAGCTGCGGCGTTGAATTTATTAGTTGTCTTAAAGAATGATCCTGTGGTGGTTGAACATAAAGAGAAATTGAATCGAGTTTTGAAAACAATTGAAAATAATATAAATGAAATCAAAACTAAACATAAAGGAAATGAAGAAAATCTGTTTGAATTAAATGCAGCTGGGATGCTTGAAATTACAATTGAAAGATTTAAAGAATAAGCCAGATGTATGACAAGCCATCGTCGCCGTTGCTGTTCTTGTTTAAATGTATATAACTATTTCTTATATATAGTATTAATTAGTATTATAAAACATCTATCGTTTACTTTTTGAAGATCCTTTTTTATTACTCAAACTTCTATCATCAACTAATGGACCCCAATAGACAAAGAACCCTTCTTTTGTAGATATGATCTCTTCTTCCATTTGTAATTCTTTATCATCTATAAATGGATCTTCATAATCATATTTCCCCACTTTTCTAATCATTCTAATTTCATGCTGTCTAACCAATTGTTCTTCAGTTAATTCTTTCCCTTTTGGTTGTTGTGGTAATTGTACCTGTTGTACCGGAGCACTTCTTTCATCATCTACGATTAAATCATCATCATCGTCATCCAAATCAGCCCCGTCATCATCGTCATCCATCATGTCGTCCATCATATCAATTGCCGATTTCGCCTTGGGATGAACTACACTCCATCCATATTTTTCTTCGGCAAGTTTGAGAACATTGACAACTACTTCTGCTTTTCCAGGCTGTGGATTCTTGGGATCTAGTAATGGAATATCAAGTGCTATAATCGGTGGCTCCACCTTCTCCTTTTCCTTCTCCTTTTCCTTCTCTTTCTCCTTCTCCTTCTCTTTCGCTGGTTGTTGATCTTTCTTTTCATCAACTACCTTACCAACCTCTTTCGTACTCCCATTCTTAATCGATTCCATTGCCTTCGGACCCGTATTATCACCACCAGCCCCCTCCTCTTCATCATGATTTAATAAATTAATAACAGAAGGTCCCTTTAATTTCACCAATGGAATACTGTCCGATTTTTCAGTAATCATACCCGGATGTAATGGTTTCTTCACCGACACAGTCACTTTCGTTTGTACTTCTGGAGTTTTCTTAACTGGTCCTCCAGCTGCAGTTGGTCTTGGTGAATCTACTTTTGCTTTCTTGGGAACTGTCCCAGGTTTTGGTCCTGGTCGTTTTCGTACAATTGGAGGTGCTGGAGCAGGGGCTGGAGTGGATGGTTTTGAAGGTTCGGAGTCGTCATCGAGATTAATGATCGAGTTTATGGATGTTCGACTTGGTGGTGGCTGTTGTGGTTTGGTTGGAGATGTTGTATTACTACTCGGGAGAGATGATGATTTATTGGTGGAAGTTGTGGTAGGTTCAAATTGAATACTGGTTTGGAAATGTTTGATTCGATCACTATAAGTGAATGGAGAAGCTGATTGGGATGGCTTTGGAGCTATGACTGGCAAGGATGACTGTCGTGGGGATGACAGTTTCTTTTTAGTTTGTATTGTAGTTTTCTTTGCAATAGAAGAAGGTGTTATTCGTTGTTGTTGTTGAGAAAATGGGACTGGCGTTGCAGGTTCATCATCTATTATAATTACTTCATCGTCAGTTCCTGGTCCTGATGTTGGAATGATGGGTGTTTGAAATCTTGAAACTAAACGCAGCAAAGGAATATTGGAAGGTGATCGTGGTGGTTGTTGTGCATTTCCTGGTGCGGCAGAGTTGTTATTGCTATTGGTACTATTAGATGATGTTAATAATGAAGAAATGGGGACATTACCATTTCCAGGTGACATTATCTATTATTGTAATTTATATAGTATGGGGTGTGTAATGTGTGTGTGGATTGATTGTATGGGCAGTTTAAAATTTGTTGTTGGTTGAATTGGTTGGTTGGTTGGACGAATGAATCAAAATGTGAAATGGTCTTATTAAATGAAGCTTTTGTTTTCTGCCTTCCTGTTCATAGTTAATTCATTATGGGAAATCTACTGAAGAAAAAAGCTTTAAATAAATTGCTTTAGTAAAAAATTGTCTCACTTATAAAATTATACCCTCGGGGAACAAATACGCTCTCTCTCACATACAAAGACTAACAAACTATACAAAATATCTACGCTCTATCTAATTGAATAACATTAGTATGATAACCTAACTTAGTCAACATCAATGAAGTATCACATCCATATCCTTCTAAAGAATTCATCAGTAATTCTCCATTCCAATAATCAGCATATACAGAACACATTGCCAAACCCATTCCTAATTTTAAACTATATTCTCTAGCAATAAAATGATGTAATGTAGAATGAGTATTTCTAACACTTTGTTCACTTAATGACGTCAGTCCTAATATTCTTTCAGCTTGTGAACTAACAATTGAAGATCCTGCCGGGGTTACTTGTAAATTTGAATATAATTGTAATCCAGGAATTTGATGGAAATTTGCTAAACTTTGTCTTGACGTGTCTGGTTTTTTACCAAATGACCAAACATTCTTTAAATCATCATGATGAATACCTCCACCTTGATCAGATATCCTAAATAATACTTGCTTCTTCAGATCAATAATTGTAACTTTTACTGGTGGTAATATTTTTGATGTCATTTTTGAATGAGTTTTAATTGTAGCTACGAATGAATTACGTAAGATTTCATGTAATAAATAATGTAAATGAGGAACCATAAATTGAAAATGAGTATTTAAATCACCTTCAATTTCTAATGCTGGCATTCTTTCAACTTCTGGGAAATGAGGTGCTAAAGTGGCTTTAACCATATCAGCTACAACATTAAAATGTTCAGCCGCTTTACAATCATGAAAAATCTCACCAATATAATTTGCTGGTTTTTGAGCATATGGATTAGTCCTATAATTCTGACTAAGCGATAAATGTTGTTCAACAATGATTCTTCTACTAATTCTTGATCTTAACATTTGACTCATAAATTTATCTAATTCAGCTTGAGGTAAACTTTTTGCAATTGATACTTCTAAAGCACCCATCATTAAATGGGATAAATTAAATAAATGATCATCTAATAAATTAACTAAAGTTTCACAAAATTTATCATTCTCTTCAATACTATGAATTGCTGGGATTTTTCTAAATGCATTAAACAGATGATAATAACTTTCATAAATTTGTGCTAAATGAAAATTATTAACTACACCAAATGGTAATGTTTGTAAATCACGAATTCTCATAGCTAAACGAATTGGTAATTCAATTCTCACGAAATTGGCACTATTTAAGATCTTCTGTTTTGTTAATGTATTACCATATCCTGCCAATTGTCGAAGTGATACTGGATGAGGATGTCGTTTCAGATATTCCATTAAGACGGCATTTTGATAGAAATGTTGTGGATTTAAAATATTGGAATAAGTAGGGAATGGACCCAAGTTCTTTAAATGTTTGGCAATCTCTTCTTTACTTATAGATGACATGAAATCATTATGGATATATGAATGAGCAGTAATTGGGGAATATTTATTATGAACCAGTCGATGATAGATGGAACATCCCGTCTGTCCTAAAAGTTTCAAATTTGGTTTTGGTTTTGATAGACGAGTTAACATGGTTTGTATAGGCAATGGCGATATAACGTAGAACACTACTGATCAATAGTATCAAAAACTAACCTGATTCCTCAATTAAACCTTAAAAAGTGAAATTCTTCTCCTTCTTTGAAGTCCCCTTCGTAAATTCATAACCATATATTTTTGATATTCGTACACGACCTTTTATCAGATAAGGATGGAGACCCTTCTTATCTTTAACCACTACAAACCTTTACAAACCTTGAGATGATCTAGAGAGAATATGTAGAGAAAATGGATCAGAATGCGAGATTTGTATCGAAGTATATAATTTAACCAGGAAACACATCTATAAATCTATAAAAGGTATTTTTACTCTCTATGGACAAGTATATCCTCCATCAACAACTAAATCAGTTCCAGTAGTATATGTAGAAGCATTAGAAGCCAAATACAAATATGCCCCCACCAACTCTTGCGGAATCCCTTCTCTCCCCAATGGAGTAAATTGCCACCATTTTTGTCTGGTTTCAATATCAACAAAATCAGTTATCTTGGTCACCATATAGCCCGGAGAAATGGTATTTACTCTTGCAAATGGAGCCCATTCAACCGCTAATGATTTGGCTAAATGTTTAACTGCCGCTTTTGCCGCATTATATGGAGATTGCGATTGTGGAATATTAACAATCTGAGCTGAGATTGATGACGTAATAATCATCGATCCCCTGTCATTTTTCTTGAAGATTTTTCCTACATTTTTGGCACAATAATAAACCCCACTATAATCGACATTAATCAATTTATGCCATTCCTCATAATCCTGATCAGCATCGATGATTGGACCATGGGGCCAGGTGATACCGGCATTAGCCACAAAGATATCAATCGTCCCGAAGTCAACTTCGATTTGTTCAATGACTTGTTGAACTTCTTTAGCAATTCCAATATCACATTTATAAGCACGACAACGGATTCCATATTTTTCAGCAAGTTCATGAGCGAGTTTATCGGCCGGAGTTGAATTATACCAAATGGCAACATCTGCACCTGCTTGGGCGAAAGCTTCTGCAACGGCATATCCTATACCTTGAGATCCACCGGTGACGGTGGCTACTTTTCCTTTTAAGGAGAATAAATCAAGGACGTTGGATGGTAATTGTGGAGCTTTGGTTGGTAATGGACCAACACCTGGATTAATTAGTGAAACGATTTCTGAGGTCATGGAGAACTGTGGATGGAAAGAAAAGAAGAGATTATTAGTTTTGGGGAAAAGCGGGATTCTTTGGCTTATTTTATAGTATGCATGGGATTCTCCTCCACCTTTCTAGTTTGATATCTCGGAAAGATGTATCTTGGAGATCGGTATAAAATACGGAAAGATCTGTCTAATTTCCCAATAGGGAAGGTGTGCGGCTCATTCACATTTCTAATTTTAAATTCATTGAAAATTTAAAAAAGTTAAAAAATAATTTCTCGGCAACTTAAAAAATAATATAGTTGATATAATATGCAGGAAGATGCAAAAAAAAAAAATAATTGAAAACAAGCCAGCCATCTTTTGTTTTAAACTTCTAAAGAACAACGTTGTTAAGTATTGTTTAATAGTTAATTCCAGGATGCTCCCCCCTGCTCATCGCTTGCTCATCAGATAACTGCCCTTTGCAATTAGATCAATTTCAAGTGCAACCAATACAGCTGTCAAAGGAGTGACCATCTCCCCACCTGTTTTATTATTTATATATATTAATCCATTAAGATCCTTTTCTTTCTTGTTTAAGCCATTTTTCTTATACATTTTGCTTAAAGATCTTTCCACTATTCTTAGGAGATTATACACAAAATCTAAGAAAAAAGCTATGAATGTCACAAGTAATGGTTATTACACGTCCCAGTACTTAAAACAACATTACGACGACAATGAAGAAGTTGACAACCACAGCAACATAAAACAACAACAAGTGGCACATGATTCTTTTTTAGCTGCGTCTCCTTCTTCTACTTCAATGTCTCGTAAAGGAATGTCAATGGAAGTTAAATCACCCGTTATAACAAATATACGACCCAAAAAACCAATTAAATCTAAATCAGAGTCTTTCATCATTGGATCACGTCCCGTGAGTCCCAAGAGTCCAAGCAGCACGCTGCAAGTTGAATATATTTCCGATGACGACGATTTAGGTGAAGAACTTACACCAGCCCAATTGAATTACATTAATCTGCATTATTACATTCCACCCCTGAGACAGGGTATGATAATTCCTGCCCCCCCTAAGAGATCAAAGAAACCTCGGAATAAAAATGATGATTATTATATCAATCTCCAAAAACGATATGATGGCGCCAAAGTAATAAAACCAAAATTATATACTCATAAAACATTTCATGAAGTGTTTGTAGATAAAGACGAAGATATATCACGATATAATCCTATGGATATGGTATTTGAAGGTAGTCCTGAAGACAACGAGAAGAAGAAACCGATTTTTAAAAAGATTAAATTATATAAAGATGATTATAATGATTATAATTATTATGATCATAGGGAGAAAGCTAATCCTGCCAAAGATGTTTTTGTTCAAGAAGTACAATCAGATGATGACGTTGATGAAGTGCTATTTGGGGGTGCATTATTACCAGAAGACGAAGAACAACAGAAACAAGCAAAGAAGAATAATTTTAAGAAATTGATTAAGAAGAAATATCAAAAGGCTAAAAAGGAATTAGGCAAAGATTTTGATGAATTTACGAGGAAGCAGAGTATAATTGATGCCCAATTGAAGGAAGTCAGGGCGAAAGAACAGGCTGAGAAGAAAGCGAAAGCAAAGGAAAAGAAGAAGAGAAAGAATAGTAAATCGTCTGAAGGTGGTGGTGTCGAGGGAGAAAAGTCAATCGAGGGAGAAACTCCATCTGGGGGAGACAAGAAGGAAACCACCGAGACCAAGAAGGCACCCAAAGAAGGGGACAATAAAAAAGAAGAACCCAAAAAGAAAGCAGACCCAAACCCACAAGAATTCAGTCCAATGTGGAACTATATACTATCATGGGTGGCCTATCAAAACGAAGATGACAACAAACCAGCAGCAGCAGCACCACCTGCCAAGATCGAAGAACTCTCCAATGAACCAGACTCCAAATCCACCAAATCAAAACGCTCCACCACCAAAGACTCCCCTGACTCTAATTCCAAAGCACTCATCCCTACAACCAAACGGAAAAAACTCAAAGGATTAGCCAAAACCTCAAAAAAATTCCTCAGCAACTGGAATCAACCAGTCATAACCGCCCTCAACCCGGCCCAAGCAAAACTAATCACCACCCTTCCGCCCATCCCCGAAAAAACCGCCAAATCCATCCACTCATCCATCCATAGCACCATTCTCGGCGAAACTGACAGCAAGGAATTCGTGATTGAATATGATGAAGATGATGAGGATGCAAGTATTTCCGAAGAATTATATTATGATCCGATATCGAAACAACTCCAACCCACTCCACCGACCTCATTCTCCTCCCTATCTCCGGAAGCAAAACAAAAGTCCCTCTCTAGTTCATCCTCAGCTTCATCAATGCGGACAATGAGGAACATAGGGCTGATGAATCCCATGCAGAGTATTGCGAATAATATCTATAATTTCGATCCTAGTGGTCTGATTGAAGTCGTATCGAAATTGATCGAACTTATTAAACGAATTCATATTATGGAAATATTATTCAGTCCAATCGATTATATTGGGGAGAATATCCCTAGTTTACAAACTGTGGTTGTATTTATTGAATTGGGGTTATTTGTTTGGATCTTGTTTGAGTTGAGTAGATTGATTGATGCGGTTTGTATGATGATAAAAGCGTTTTGTGCGCCGATGATTGCGATTGGACGATTGATGAATAATATTATGTAGAGAATTAGATAGATAGTCATTTAGTTTAAGAAACGATTACACTGTATTATAATACAAAAAAGAATAGTAGTAGTAATAATAAGGAATTATAAAGATATTTAAACAAGAATATAGAACAAGATATTGGATGATGATTTCCAAAATCACACATACAAACGTCTCTGGAAGGACATATTTCATAAAACAAAAAATAACGGAATAAACTCAATCAAAAAACAAACGATAAAGCAGATCTTTCTCTCTAATAGCAGGAAAAATGACAAATAATAATAATACACTCTCAAGAAAACGACACTTCTCAACATATTAGTAATACAAACGGAAACAAACGGAAACAAATATATGGTTCTAGCTGACACCTTCTAGCTAACACCTTCTAGCAGGTGGTTCTAGCAGGTGGATCTAGCTGGACCCTGACGGGTCCATCTTACTTCTTACTAATCCGATTCCCATTAATTCTAATCCCCTTAATAGTCACCCCCGTCTCTTCCACCGGGAATTTCCTCGGTCTCCCCCTCCTATCCTTCTTCTTCAACAATTGTTGTACTGCCTCATCACCCAAATTTCTCATTGAGGGGGGTTGTTCAAATAATTTCGACAATCCTGCAGGAATCCCATTATTCCCATCATTATTATTATTCTGATTAAGATTTGGATTATTTGGTTTTCTGCCTCTCTTTTTAGGTTGTTGTACCTGTTGTTGTTCGAGAACCTGCTGTTGTGCTTGTTTCTTCTGTTGTTTTAATTGTTGTTTATATTCTTTTTGACTCTGTTTAAGTTCCCCATTTTCCATCAGCTTAACCACCTTATTCAAAGATTTAAAATTTGGATGAGTTGAATCTATATATGTATTAGATTCCGGATCGAGGAGTAATTTCTTAGGACGACCTCTGGTTTTTTTGCCTTCTGAATCTACATGATATTGTTGTTGGATCTTGATGTAATCCTGTTGTTGTTGCTGTTGCTTTTGTTGTTGTTGTTGTTGTTGGAGTTGGAGTTGTAATTGATCTGCAAGCTTTTGTTGTTCTTCAAGTTGTTGTTTTTGTTTTTTGGTCATTCTTGGTTTTCTTGGTTTTTTACCAGTAGATTGTTCAGGAGAGCCTTCGGGTGAGTGATGGACTTGCTGAGTCTCTTGAGGTTGTTGCTGAGGCTGTTGCTGCTGCTGCTGCTGTTGTTGTTGGAATTGTTGAAATTGGAGTTGGTTTTGTTGTTGTTGTTGTCGCAATTGCAAATTCTGTTGAAGTTGTTGAGGCTGAATATGTTGAGGTTGATTTTTTTGCAGTTGAGCCTGTTGCAGTTGCTGCTGTTGTTGTTGTTGAGTATATTGTAAATGTTGCAAAAACAGTTGTGTTTGTTGCTGATTATAATGCAGCTGCGAAATATTTTGAAGTTTACTTGGATCTAATTGTTGAATCTCACCTGGATTGGCATACATCGGTTGTTGTTGCAGCAGCAGACTTTGTTGTCCCAGTTGTCCTTGCCCCTGTCCTTGACCACTTGTTTGAGAATATTGACGATATTGAGCATATTGTTGTGGTTGAATAGTGTGTATACTAGGATGGGGTAAGCCTAAACTTCCAGGACCTGCCAATCCAGAAGAAGTGCGACCACCTCCAGTACCAGAATGGTGACTTAATGGAGGTACAGGACTATGAGTAGTTCTACCAAAGAATGGAGTTGATGTTTGTAAAAGTTGGGGTCTAATATTATTTTTTCCACGTTCTGATAACATTGGATTAGTGACTGATGGAGCAATACTTGTGGGAGGAGTAGTTGAACCAGTACCAGTACCACTACCGGTGACATTGTGTTGTTGTTGATGGTGTTGGTGGTGATGAGGATGATGGGTGGATGTATCATTGTTGTTTTGAGGACTTGTTTGACCAGTTGAATTGGATTGATTGTTATTTGTTGTGGTTGAGTTGTTGTTGTTGTTATTGTTGTTTCCATTGGTGGAAGTATACCCTTGATAAGGTACATACAAATTGTTAAACATGATTACCAGCGTCTTCTTCTTCTTCGTCTTTCTTCCTTTCTGATTGATTCTTGAAGGTTGAATGGATTGGATTGAAATGAATAAAATGAAGAAAAGGAAGAAGAAGAATGTTTTTTTTTATTTTATTTTTATTTTACAGAGAAGGAAGAAAAAAAAAAAAACATTTTAAAAAAAAAAGAGAAAAAAAAAAATGATGAGCTTTTAAATTAAATTAAAAAATTAAGGCAAAAAAAAAAAAAAAAAAGGAAATTCTAAAATTCATATTTTCCCCCCTTAAAACAAACATCATACACTATGAAACATGAAAGGAATATAAATTTATGGGATGAACCTTGCATTAAAATATTCACACAATTTAAGTACAAATAGGAGAGTAAAAGATAGTCGAGATCTTTTTAATCTAAGAATATATAAATTATAAATAATCTTTAATTAATTTTTTTTAAAAAAAAATTTGTTCTTTTATTATTTTTTTTTATTTTAATTTTATTTTACTTTTTATTTTTAATTGGGAATTAAAAATAAAAAAAGCTTTTCAGAATCCAAAACTACCTTTCCAATATAAATTACTTTGGAAGTGGATCTCACAATGAGGGATTATATGGAGGTATGGAGGTGGAACAGGCGGGGTATGGTAGATCTAACAATCTACAGATTGTTATTAAAAGAAGAACAAGAAGACACGGGTAATGAATCACAACAAACAATCAACAAAACAATGGAACTTCGGTACGTTTTTTTTTTCTGGAATCAAACCAAAGGACCATTGTTTATAACATAATCTATTTTGATCTTTTGATTTTCATGGTGGTGGTGGTGTACTCTACTAAGTTACTCTTAAGCGTTTAATAAAAGGAAGATCTCGAGGATTCTGTGTTTGAAACATTTCCTTTGTCTGTTAATTTGTGAACTTGTCTGTTTGGGATGTTTTGTTTCTCATTTATATTCTCAATTGTAGAGATATTTTCTTCGTATTAAGAATATTCTTGTCCAAATAATTAAGACTTTTAATTCTCCTCTTCTTTTTTTTTTTTTTTCAATTGAATAACTTAAGATGTATAATTGATTTAAGAAAGGGAAATGATTGGATTATAACAGGGAGTTTCAATTAGTGGTGTTAGACGCGTCGTATCAAAGACTGTTTTGGTACAAAATTACACAAAACGTCGAAGTCGCACGATCGATGAGATGAGGGAATGACTTTAAAGAGTTGCAATCAAAAGCTATTCCTCGATGTTTGGTTATTTTATGAAGCGGTTTAAAGTGAATATCAACACCGAATCGCCATCAATAATCTTCAATAGGCTTTCGAGTTGTTAAGATTGTAAACGAAACAGATTGCATCATTAAGTCAAATGAGAAGCTATGGACTGTAAAATATTAAGAATATTTTAACTAAAATGGAATTAACGATTTTAGCACTCTAGAATAAGATCAATTTTATGTTCTAATTATAAAGATTAAGACTTATTGTTAACTCTCTTAACATTATACATAATGTATTGTATATCAATTGAGAGTTTAGTTTGATCCTAAAAATAAATAAATTATATAAATAAATAAAAGAATTTAAAATTAAATATTAAAACTAAAAATAAAATTTAATTTAAATTAAAGCAAAAAAAAAATAAGTGAATTTTATTTTTAATTCAAATTAAATTCATTTTTTTTTTGCAGCAATTTATACTCTCTATCAATTAACACCACAACTGAGTCAATTTATAAAGATAATCTCATATGTCTAATAATATATATGATACTAGAGAGTCAAAGAAATATACCTCAAGCAATTGGAAAATACGGAAACATTTGACTACTGTAACTCATAGATTTACTAATCCCTCTCCAAATAATCTAATACGTTACTAAACAAAAAGAGAGGTGGTTGCTTTTCTATATGAACACTTTGTTTATTTTCTTAAAAAATGATAATAACTTATACACACACACAAACTACACTACACTATACAAAACTCCATCTCTCTTAGACCCTAATTAGTAATGGTTATAGAATTAGTTGGGATTTGAGATAATAAAGAATCTTCAAAATATTCCACAAATTGTTTTGAATCGATTAATTTTTCATCATATTTAACTTTAAATCCAACATTCACCTTTTGTCTAGATGATTCTCCTTCTTTTGATTTAATAGTCTTCTTAACTGGTGATGATTCCAATCCCAATAATTCATCAAATGGATCAGATGCAATGCTAATGGATTTGGTGGAGGCAGGAGATGATTGATAGAATTTATAGGAAATATCATAAACTTCAAATCTCTTCTTTGTAACCCCAGGATTAATAATTTCATCAAATAAATCATCTTGTTCACGAAGAACATTTGCAGTTGGTGATGAAATATATTGAGGGAATTTAATACCATAACTTTGTTTAATTGCTGATTTTATTGAATTTTCAAATGCAAATTTAAATTTGGCAGGAGAAATGTCTTCTTCAGTACCTAAATCACACACTAAATCAATTGATAAAATATTCTTTGGTTTTGGTTTTTCAACAGGTGTGGTAGCATCTTTCTTGACTTCTTCTGGCTTTGGTGGTTCCGGTTTGGCAATGACAATATTTGATAAATCTAAATGTTGCTTTGAGTTTAAAAATTCAGTTAATTTAATTATAGAATCACGATTAATTGAACCTAAATGAGCTAATACATCCCCTTTTAATAATCTACCATTTGGACCAGATGCAGGAATTTGATTAATTGCATCGGTTGAAGAAATATTATTTTCATGTAATAATAATTCAACCGCTGGTGATAATTTTTGTTTTGGATTTGCCTTTTGGAAGATTCCTGACTTACTTTCAACTACTGTTGGTTTTGATTCTGGTTGTTTTGGAGTTTCAGCTGGTTTAGCAGGGGCTGGCTTCTTTTCTTCAGCAGCTGCTGCCTTTGGCGCCGCTTCTTCTTCCACTTCAGGTCTTGTCAAACTTGACAAATCATCCTCAGGTTCAGCAATAAATGCAATAGCCTTCCCAACCGGTACACCTTTGGCACCTTCCCCTACCAAAATCTCAAACATTTTCCCATCATCTACTGCTTCAACATCAATTGTGGCTTTATCAGTTTCAACTTCTAATAAAACATCACCGGAATTGAATGATTCTCCTGGTTTATATTTCCAAGAAATGATCCCTCCTTCAGTCATGGTTGGTGACATGGCTGGCATTTTGAATACAGTGGCTGCATTTATGATTGAGGTGGTATGGAAGCAGGATCTTCTTGTGAGAATGGTGGTGGATTTAATAATTGATCTTGCTCTAATCATGATGAATTGTATATCTATGTACTATGCAAATTGTTATCTCCTGAATACTAAATGTCAATTCTTGATAGAAAGGGTTTAATGTGTGTAAGATTTTTTTTTCATTCAATTGATAGACATATAATAATCAAGTGAAGGGAGTGTTCGGATTAATAATGCCGATGTGCTTTGTAGTTTGAAAAAAATGTTGAAAAGGAACGGACGCGACATTTCCGTTTCTATCGGAAAATGTCTCCGAGATGAGAATGTCGGGTTCTGGATCACGTGAATATAATCATGTGACATAAATTCACAAAAAAATAGATAAAAAAATAATTTGTGTACAAAGTTCATTCGTGTAAACGCGTCAATTTATGTTAAACAATAAAACAAAAAGAGAACAAAGGCGTCACTTGAAATGTTTTGTTCTTTGCCCGGAGATTTCAGGGATACTATGCTGTATAAGCTTTTTCCGGTTCCATTCCCCCATATCAATTTAAAACTGTACACCCCATCCATCCATCCATCCATCCACAGTTTATCCTTCGCTTCACTCAACCCTGACTGTCAAAATTTTTAACAAACCTCATCTCTTTCTTCTTCTTCTACTTCAATATCTGTTATTGGATCTATTTTGGAAAAGAAACTTACAAGAGAAGGGAGCATTTACAATTATTACTTCAAAATTAAACTTAACATATAATTTAAGCTTAAAATTCCCTCAACGTTATTAAATTACGATTGATTCAAGAAATTAACCTTGTGATTTATAGAAATTAGAAATTAATAAACACATATCCCCCTTTGATAAGAGACTCAACAAAACCAATTGTTATTGACATTGTTATACGTATTCATAATTACGTACAACTCATTTGGTGGTCATATTGTATTTATAAATTTTCAATTGTTACCAAAAATACATTTCCATACTTAAAATCTTCCACATAGAAAAAAAAAGAAAGTTCTAAAATAAGTTTTCTTTTTCTTTAAGTTAACTTACATTTTTACAAACACATCCTATACTACTACTACTACTTTAATCGTTTAATAGGAGAGATATAGAGAGATATACACAGATACAGACAGTTTACATATACACAACAAGCATAGACATACATACACATAGCATATCCAAGATGACACAAACTACGATAATATCAAATATACGAAATACCCTAAGTATGAAAAATCTAATATCAACACTCAAGAAATATTCAAGATTCATAGGACCAGGATTAATGGTTAGTGTAGCCTATATGGATCCTGGGAATTATTCCACTGCAGTAGCTGCTGGTTCAGCATATAAATATAAATTATTATTTCTGATATTTTTATCAAATTGTTTAGCTATATTTTTACAAATATTAGCCGCTAAATTAGGAGCAATTACTGGATTAGATTTAGCTAGTAATTGTAAAGAACATTTTTCATTTAATGTGAATATCATATTGTATATCTTGACTGAAATTGCCATTATTGCTACTGATTTAGCAGAAGTTGTCGGGACTGCTATTGCTTTGAATATTTTATTTAATATTCCGTTATTAGTGGGGGTTATGATTACCGTGATTGATGTATTGGTGGTTTTGATGGCATATAGACCAAAGGGACCTTTGTTATTTATAAGAATATTTGAATCATTTGTATCATTATTAGTGGCAGCTACTGTTGTATGTTTTGCAATTGAATTATATCAAGTTGGTAATGATTCAAATATAAATTTCTCCTTGGGTGAAGTATTTGCCGGGTTTTTACCCAGTCCTGAAGTTGTTGATATGAGTGATCGAAAGGGTGGAAATGGATTGTTTTTAAGTTTGGCAATCTTGGGGGCTACTGTTATGCCTCATTCTTTATATCTTGGTTCTGGTTTAGTACAAGCTAGATTAAAAGATTTCGATATCAAAAATGGTCACTACTACAACAAGACAAAACAACCAAAACAACAACAACCGGTCGAAGAAGAAGATATCACAACAACCGCATCCTCCTCATCTATGGAATTCAACAATATCACACCCATAGCAACACCCGTCAATGAATCCAATTTCCCATTCATCGCCAATCCATTACAAGACCAATATGAAAAAGACGACGACGCGACTCTTGATCCAGAAGATGAAGATGACAATTATAGACCCTCAATCCATGCAATTGATGATACCATGACTTATACAATGGTAGAATTGGTGATTTCTTTATTCACAGTGGCATTATTTGTAAATTCCGCCATCTTGATTGTGGCAGGTGCAACCCTAAACAACAGCAATCATACCAAACGAGATAACGATCATGAATCGGATTCAGATTCAGATAATGAAAACAGTAGTGGTGGAGATAATTATGAAAATGCAGATTTATTCACGATTTACAACCTACTCACAAAACACCTCTCCCCAACGGCTGGTTTTGTATTTGCATTAGCATTATTATGTTCGGGACAAAGTGCCGGTGTGGTGTGTACGTTAGCAGGACAGATGGTGAGTGAAGGATTCTTGAATTGGACTTTCAATCCGGTGGTTAGAAGATTGATAACAAGAGCATTGGCGATTATGCCATGTGTGTTTGTGGTTTCGATTGCTGGTAGAGAAGGGTTAGGCCAGATTTTGAATGGAAGTCAGGTGGTTTTGAGTTTATTGTTGCCATTTGTGACTGCTCCGTTGATTTATTTTACTTGTAATAAGAAGATTATGCGGGTGCCTATATATATCCGAGACGGCGATGAAGAAATTGATCAACAATCGCAGGATGTTGATCATCAACAACAAGAACACATTCCTGTCAATCCATTCGATGATGACGAAATAACTTTATCTATGAAGATTGCCAACAAGCCCACTGCAAAACCATTCCAAAGTTCCCAAAGCGCAATCAAACTCCAAGACCTCCGAAATTCCCACCCTTGTGCCGGCTGGGACGACGACGAAGAGTCGTCATCAGAACAACAGCAACCGGAAGAACAACCATTAATAATCACATCCCCCAATAATATCCCCATCCCACCAGCCTCAATTCAATATTCTCAACCCATCATGACCAGGATCCAATCCCGAGTTGAGAATGATAGTGATGGCTTCCCATTGGAAGAATATCAAGGAGAAGAAGGTGGGGATATTTATAGAATCAAAGGATATAAAGATTTTAGTAATGGGGTTTGGACCTCGGTGTTTGCGATTTTGATATGGGGGTTTATTACTTGTTTGAATTTATATTTGATTGGAAGTATGGCATTAGGGTATGATGTTCCTTTATAGTTTGAGTGGTTTTTTATTTATTTATTTTAGTGTTTAGATATATTTTTTGTATGTGGTTTAATAGAGTGTTTGCATTTTCTTTGATTTACTTGTAGAGAGAGAGAAGGAGGAAGAAAGAGAGTAGTCTTGTCTAGGTTGTGAAAAAGAGTTCATTATAGATAGAATTGGAATGAGTTCTTGCTTAGATCATATGTATTGCTACATGTAGAATGTAAATAATTCGTAAAGAAAGTATGATCTGTGTTTAACAATCTACTCGGGAAGTCGCCGTGGGACAAATGGGGGATAATAATAAATTTGCAACCATTGTCTGGATCAACGGAAGTCCAAACCGAATCAATCCCGCTATAACATAATAAGGAACTACAATCCGAATAACCGGTAAACAATATATAAAGAAAATTAATTAAAATGTATTTTTTTATGATATGTACTAATTACTAACTAAGGGAAAAGACTCGGCACAACAAATCTAAGCGTCATAAGTAGAAGCAGAGACATTACCACCTCTACCAGTCCAATTAATATGAATCCAAGAATCCTTCTTTAATAATTCATTTTCTTGACCAGGTAAGACTTGGAAAGTATGAGCTCCGAAATAATCTCTTTGAGCTTGTAATAAATTAGCAGGTAATCTAGCAGATCTTAACCCATCATAGAAAGCTAAAGCGGTGGAGAAAGCTGGGGTTGGGATACCGAATTCAACAGCCTTGGCAATGGTTGATCTCCAACCTGATTGAGCAGAAGTGATGGCTTGGTTAAAGAATGGATGGAATAATAAGTTTTCTAAATCTGGGTTTTCTCTATAAGCACTAGTGATTTCACCAAGGAAGACAGAACGGATAATACAACCACCTCTCCACATTAAGGCAATAGAAGCATTGTTTAATTTCCAACCGTATTCTTTAGCAGCTTCATTCATCAACATGAACCCTTGGGTGTATGAGATAATCTTGGAAGCATAAAGAGCTTGTTCTAAATCATCAACGAACTTTTTCTTGTCGGTGATTGGAGAAATAGAATCAACAGATGGACCAGCAAGGACTTTTGAAGCGGCAACACGTTCATTCTTTAAGGCGGAAAGACATCTTGAGAAAACAGCTTCACCAATTAAAGTAACTGGCATACCTAAATCAAGAGCATTAACAGCAGTCCATTTACCAGTACCCTTTTGACCAGCAGTATCCAAGATTTTTTCAACCAATGGTTTATCATCAGTTGGATCATTATAATATAAGATATCTCTAGTGATTTCAATCAAGAAAGAATCTAAAACCCCTTTATTCCATTGAGCGAAAACATCACCAATTTCCTTATTGGAGAATTTACCAACTCTCTTCATTAAATCATAAGCTTCACAAATCAATTGCATATCACCATATTCAATACCATTATGGACCATCTTGACATAATGACCAGCACCGGATTCACCAACCCAATCACAACATGGTTCACCATCGGATTTAGCTGAGATATCTTGGAAGATATCCTTAATATGAGGCCAAGCTTCAGCATTACCACCTGGCATAATAGAAGGACCAGTTCTAGCACCTTCTTCACCACCAGAAACACCAGAACCAACGAAAAAGATTCCCTTTTTCTTTAATTCTTCATATCTTCTATTAGAATCTGGGAAATGGGAATTACCACCATCAATAATGATATCACCTTCTTCTAAATATGGTAATAATTGATCAATAAAAGCATCAACAGCAGAACCAGCCTTGACTAATAACATGACTCTTCTTGGTCTTTTTAAATTTTCACATAATTCTTTAACTGAATGAGCACCAATGATTGATTTACCCTTGGCTTCATTAGCTAAAAAGGCATCAACTTTAGAAGTAGTTCTGTTGTATGCGACAACAGTGTAGCCGTGGTCAGCGGCGTTAAGGATCAAGTTTTGACCCATGACAGCTAAACCAATTAAACCGAGATCACCTCTAGGAATTAGATTGTTAGTATTATTGCTGGATGATGATAAATGGGTTTTTATTAATGATAATCTTGAATTGGCTGACATTATTATTGTGTTTTTGAATAGATTGATACGGGAGTGATTGAACATGGGGAATTGGATGGGAAACTAATGTAATATATATAATAATGGATTTAATGTAAATTCACCTCGGATGTATAATCCGGAAATAAGAAATACAAGTTCCATTTTGCACTTTATATTATTATTTATTTTTTTCAGTTTCTCTCGGTCTTACCCTACCCGCTATCTGTTTCGAGTTCTACTGGAAAAAATAAAAGGATTATTCCCAATTTTAATTTGAAAAATATTAACAAAAGGGAGATCCTCGAAATTGAATTGATATTCATTTGATATAGATGAAACTTCTCTATCTCTCTCAATTTCTTGTTCTCTCGAATTTTCACAAAAAATCAATTCTTATCAATTGGGATGGGTCGTAATATCTATTCAAAATGATAGCTTCATGATAATGTAGTTTATATTCAAGATCATAATTAAGTGAATTGTAATTCAATTGACTGAAAGTCAATTGGTGATAATGTTAAGTTTTACATACTGAGGAGCAGACATTGTGTGTTTATGAGATATAATTTACTTATAAAAGTATAGAGTAAGAGAAGAAAGAAGAAGAAGAAAGAGAAAGAAAGAAAGTGAAATTTTTTTTATTCAATTTGAGATTTCAAAAGTAAAGGGGAATATTGAAATTATTTATACTTAATACAAAACCTTAAAGGGTTTTGACATTGGAAATTTAATATTATAAATTAAAAATTCGTATAGAACTGCATATGACGTGAGTGTGTGATTTTTTTGTTACTCCGTCTGCCCTTATGTCTGTTGTTAATTTAAACGTTCTATCAACCACCTTCCTTCTTGGGTGTTGCCCTTTGTCCCCCCCCTCCTTCTGTAATCTAGATTGAAAAATTTTCAGAGTATATATGCAGGAGATAATTGATTGAGGTTTATTAATAACCATTGACTAAACATTTATTGATCCAATCAGAAATAAAGACTAACCTTTCTGGATTTCACAATCACATCTTACAGATCAATTAGTAACTAATTATCTAATTCCCTAATTGATATATATATATCCATTTCCGTGATTGCAATGAATTATTCAATATGGATATAAGGAATTATAATTTTTTTTTTCTTCCAAAATCTGTCTCGCCGTTTTTCGGGGTTGGTATTTCCGGTGAGAAAAAATAATTAATTGTTTAGCCATTTTGTTGAGCTGTTTCATTATTTCAACAATACTGAACCCTCTTTGACCTTCACCGTTATATTATTAACACTTTTCTTTTCTATAAGTATTAGATTAATAAAGTCCATGATGACTCAACAATATTTTTAATTTGAACTTATTCAATTAACATATATCTCCACATCCATATCTTGTACTTATAGAAATTTATGGATATTCTATCCGGATTTACTAAAAATTCTAAAGAGAATCTATCTATGTATCAGTTACCAACAAAGACGTGTGGGGGCACATATTTGATATATATCCAAATGGAAATGTGTGAAAATCAATTTAATTTCAGTATAATATGAATTCTTTATTAACACCCGCCACCTTTAATTAATTTGATAGATATTAAACAGTAGTTGAACATTTTTGTTTCATTAGCGCATTTTTCTCATTCT